ATGCAGTTTTATATCGCATTCAATTTTAATATAGTAAAGTACAAGTTGCCGGCCGCTGTGGTGTAGTGGTAAGCAGTGCGCGCGTCCACTCCGCAGGGTCTGGGTTCAAAACCTGGTCAAAGCAACATCGCAAAAAGAAAAATAGAAAAAAGGTTTTTTCTTAAAATCGCTGTTCGGAGTCGGTCCCTCCCCTCTGTGTGACGACATCAAAGCGCACGCAACAAATCGGAGCAAAAGCTATTATTATTATTATTATTAAAGTACAAGTTCCCAGCTACTAAGAATTCGCGTTGATTTTTTATTAATTTTATTTTGCCTCCGTCCAAATACATTAAAAATAGTACACCCCAATCAAAATTTCAAGTATAACTTTTGTTTTCTTTTTTTTCTTTTGGGGAACCCTATAATTTTTTTCGACTAGTTTTTATAATTTTACATTTATTTAAAAGAGCAGGAGAATCGATTTAAAAAAGCGGCACCCATCAATTTCTCCGAAGTTTTATAACGATTAATTTAAGCCATTACAATTGAAAATAGGTTAGTATTTATGATATATAGGAACGTATGCCATCTTTTCCAGTATTTGGTGATAGGCAACAAAAAATGTGATTCCATTGCGCACAGGAGTCGATGTGTTGATTAGTGCACCCTCAGGCCCGAAGTGAGAATTGAGTGGCGAATCTGTTGGCTGTATGTTGAAATTTCAGTTTTTCAAGGTCGAGCTTTCCTTGTATTGCTGTGCACAGACTTTTTTTGCACAGAGGCGTGTTCACATCTTGCCTACAGCAATATGATGATTTGAGTCGATTTTTGGTCCTTGGATTGTGTGCACATCTAACACACTGAAAATGTGCATGCCTTTCGTCTATCACAACATGAGCGATATGGTTTCTCGTTTTTCGATTCGGTGAATACTTCCTAGCCTGGTGGATGTTTCTATGCTGGAACCTGGTGTTACGGGCGACTATCCTTAGCTCCAGTGCCAAGTCTTTCAGCCTTAGTTCTATAGGAGTCGTTTTGCTACAGCAAAAAAATCATATATATGTTGAAGAAATGCACATAAAACTTCATAAAAATGTCGCTTACGAGTATACATATATGTATATATATTGGCACCCCCCAGTGTACATTTGCGTACCATACGAACTAATTTATGTACATTTATTTGCCACAGATTGCATTAGACCGGCATTTTCATTCTGCCTACTTATAATAATCTGATATTTTAATATGTTTGGTTACATATGTACCTATTTATTTATTTTGTGCTTATGTTACAATAACACATATTCCAGATTCTACATAGAATACTGAGTAGGATTGGTAATTGAATTGCTGACAGCATGCGGCTTGAAATATTGCAGGTAAAATGTAAATCACAGAAAATATTAGGTACCTTAAATATATTTCCAAGGGCGACTTACACGGCTTTCTTGGAATATTAAAATTGAAGCTTCCTTTGCATTGCCTGACATTTTTTTATATGCATGTACATACATATTTAGGTATGTATTTTTGTGCAGATGTAACACACTTCACGCAGTGCGAGCTAAATATGAGTGCGCCCATTGGAGGTCTTTTGCACGTGGATTCACATACGACATGTGCCAGTACACGCTTGTGTGTATGTATGTATATTTGAGTACAAATACTAGAATTCTGTATGCATGTAAATAAGTGGATTTATGCAACTTTTGTGTAAAATTCTCTGTGCACTTTTAGTTCGGTTGTCATGCAAAGCATCGTTCGTTCACAGGCAACACACATAACAAGAAAGGCAGTCAGTCCTCCGCTATTCTGCCTTTTAATTTTACATGAAGAAGAATCCCGCTGTGCGAGACGTGTGGGTGGAAGAACTGTTTGGCCATTCTAAAGTAAAGTATGTACATAAGTACAAAGGAAAGGAGGAAAATGTGGCCTTACGAGCTATCACGAATGCCTTCTTCTGCTATTATCGCCATCCATGTATTTCCTTTACAGTTTTCTGTTGTTAATGCTTCCCACACATCGGATTTGTTGCTTCCCAGCAAAAAAACCGGATTACCACAGAAATTAAAATGGAATCGAACTAAGCGATGGTAATCGCTTACCCTTTCGCTTCGAGAAGGCAGTATTTTAACATGCGCATGCCATTGGGCGTAAGCCCTTACCCGCAGCATTACCTTCGAACGAAAGGGGAACGCATGGATAAATAGAATACAGAGAAGCGAACAAAGAATGTTTTACGGAGAAACTAATGTAGAATGCCTAGATAAGTACATACCTATATATGTACTATATTAAAATGAAAACAGAAAATGCAAATTGTCTTAAAAGATTAAAATTATTTAAAAATTTTATAACTCATTTATACATACATACATATGAAGGTATTTAGGTATTTAGATCTTACTTAAGAATCGGTACTTACAAACATACATATTTAATTAATCTTAAACTTGTACTTTCTCACTCATGTACTTCAACTTCATTGACTGACTTCAACTTCGCTGTAAATTCAACAAAGCAAAATATGATTTTTAGGCAATGGAATTTTCACAGAAAGTAACGGTAGAAAAGAATTTCAGCTGACTACGGTGAAGCATTCTACTTTGCGTTCTCTGTAATGAATCAAAGCAGCGAACTTAATAAAATATTGTAGAACATTCTACTATGCATTACCGGCAATGCCTAAACGCAGCGAAAAATTAGAAGACATTATAAGGCAATGCGTTCTAAAACACGTTACCACTAAAAGCGATTACCGATTTTGCTGGGTTGTTGCACAAAAATACCTATGTATATATGTATATAAAGATATGTATGTATGTACTTGAGTACGTTAGTGCGCTTGAATAACAACGAAAGCGGTCAAATGGGTTATAAAATGCGTTCCTTTTATGGCTTATTTGGCACAATAATTTCACAACATCCTTTCACTACCTGTATACGTCATGTACGAGTATGTTTGTATATACACTGAGGAGCAAAACCGGAACAGTAATACATATCTTGTGATATATTCGCAATATACGAAAACTTTTTTGTAATCCAGTTTCGGATTTCACATTTCCAATGTATATTTCATCAGAAGGCGACAAATTGATGATACATATCGATACTTATCTTGTGAGTCTTTTCAAGGTCTTGGAGTAGTTATGATGAATATCTGCTCTGTGGTGGATTTATGAGGTCCAGAGTTACAATCACTTCAACGAAAATGGACTTTAGCCTATGGTCGCATCACTTGGGTGACCGTGATGTCCATCTTCGCTCTTACGAGAAAATCAACCAGCTGACCATGAGCACCTGCCTTATTAGCCCTAGTTGGGACGACCATGTTTATAACTCCTTTCGGCTGACGCACTCATCCCGGTGACTTTTATAAAAATATGATAAATGCCACACTATAAAGGACATTTTGCGGGAAAATTGTGGTCAATTGAAAAGGATTATCTTTCAACAGTAAGACCTGATTATTTTGACAGTTTGTATTTAGATGTACCAGAATCATATTGAATCCACTATCAAATGTGTTGAGTGCAAGAAATAAAATTTGTCTGTTTAAATTGTCATTATTAACTATATATATATATGTATATGTATGTAAATGTACATTATATACTTGTTTTCATTCAGGTGAATAAAACTTGCAACATGCAACAGCTGACTATTATTATTATTTTTTCTACTTAAAGTTCATTACACAGTCACAGAAGATAAGTTAACATAATTGATTGAAAATATATTTTTTGACCGAAAAAGGTGAAATAGTCACCCCGGTGACTCGTCGGTTAAAATACGGAGTATTCCAGATGAATACCCAGAAATCGTAGTCATTCAAGCGTTTACATTGGCGCTGTTACCAAAATTCAATTGTGCATAGCTAGATCTGAAAACCAGATCCAGATCCTGGAATGGTATACTACTTACGACCAATAAAACAAAGAAAATAGTTTAGACTACAGAACAGGCTATACGGTGGACTCGCCAACGACTCTCGACGAAAACTCTTTAAATGGCTAAATGGTAATTGTACATATGCATATATGTACGTTAGAGTGGCCAAAAAAAAAGAGTTTAAAATGTTAAGCTCTCGCCACCTAAGATTTTTCTTAATGGAAAAAAGAATACCCGTATTTTTTTAATTGATATTTAGAACTGCCTCAAAGCCCATGCCATTTTCCATGTATTTTATATGGGGAAAAAACACTTTTTTGAAGAAATATTATTCGATCAGAAAACTGTGGTTCTCTTCAGCAGACTTCCGATAATAAAACCAGTTTGTTTATTTTACCATTTCTTACGCTAACCATTTTTATGGGTTCCCCGTCGCCTTTATTTTGGGTTTTTGGGGACCTATAAAAAATAGTTAGTATTAAAATATGGTTAAATAAACAATTGGGTTTTGTTATTGGAAGTCTCCTGAAGTGGATCGGAGTACCTTAATTAAAAAAAATTTATTTTTAAAAATTCTTTACCATTTCTACGAAAGAGTGTTTTCACCATACATATAAAATACATATGTACATACATGGGAACCTTCATGAGATTGAGGAAGTTCTATATATCTTTTCTCAACACAATATACGGCATTCTTCTTTTCCATTTCGGAAATATTTTTTTGATTACCTAATATGTGTCTGCATATTCTGCAATTACCATTTTACAACCTTTACATTACTTTGCTCTTAATGCGTTAATGGCTACATGAAAAATTCGCACCGAATGCTGCTATTAAATTCATTTTGAATAAGAAATGATGCAGACCGGACGCTGGTACGACCAGTGGTTGGTTGGTTCTCTACGTCAGCCATTTAAAATATTTAAATACGTATACACCTGTACCCATAACCTTTCAGCGCTACCAATGAGTTCCTATTTGTGCGTGTGTCGGCTATTAAAGAAAGAGTGTGTGTGTGTGACTCATCTAAAATGGAAATTTGCTCATATAAATTTTATTAAACGCGCGACCTTTTTAACGTTTCGCTGACTTTTCTTTCTTCACTTTTTTCTTGCAGCCTTCGTGGGTCCTTTTTAACTAAATAAAATCGAGTCTTCCATTGCATCACAAAAAGTTGTTCACTGTTGTTTTTGTTGAGAAGTATTTTGGTAGTTCTTGCGTTTTTTTTAGTTTGTTTTTGTACTCGTATGCCTTCCAATGCGAATAAGGAATACACATACAGCGATGGATGATAAGCAAACGATTGGGAAAATGAGTAAAAAGCGGAAAATTTCATTTAATTATGCAGCGGCCAAGTTGTGTAAGACCCGAGTGAGGCCGCCAGTTGCCAGCGAAACGGTGAACGACATTGCGTTATTCTTGCTGGTGGTACTTGCCATCATTACGTCAACCAAAACAGGTGAGTCTGACACGTTTAATATAGCTACTTTTATGCATACAGATGAATATATAAATGTATAGCCATTCGTATAAAAAATGCCAGCACGTCATACAAAAGTACATCTGAACGTTAGGCTGGACATTTTTGTAACATCAGTTTATATAAATGAGCACCAGGCTGGAAAATTTTCACATTTTACTTTGAGAAACTAATTGACAAATCTGCAGCCAGTCTGAGAATAATAATATTCCTAATAACACAGCCCACAAAAAAAACTTGTCATGTGCTTTTGACAGCAATACCCCTAATGTTTTGGTGGCCGGAACACGAATTTGAAGTCCATTTTGTTCAATCACATCAGAATTTTTTCCTAATACCAAAAGCGGGGCGGATATTTTGTGACATGCACGTTTTTTGAGGTTAAAAAATCCTGCCGTGATGAAGCAAAACGCACTTCTGATTCGTGTTCTGCACATCAAAATACATAAGGAAAGGTTAGTCTGATCCCCGAACCCCGAAACTTGTTTAGTAGGTGTGTGGCTGTTTACAGCTGTTTTGTAGCTTTATGTAGTAAGACCTTTGCATTATTAGTTTGAAAACTTTGTACGTTGACAACATCTTAGCTAGTATTAGTATTTACATACAAGTCTGTGTATGCCCAAATCTTGTATAAAATTTACTCATTTAAGGGCTGCCAGATAGAAAATCTCAACCTTGACTGGCTAAGCATCAGCTAGATTGAATTCGCTCCAGACATTGTTTTCATGTCGGATCGGTGCGATCGATTTCTGCCATTAGTAGAAGTGTCATCAATGTGGCGTCGAGCTAATTGAGTGCAAAACCTTAGCAGCGATTAAAACAATTCGAAGTTGAATACTTTGAACCTCGGCCCCCCACGAAACTGTTGCCGTATACACGTTTGAAAAGGTAGGAAACAGCATTAACACCAAAAAAGTAAGTGCGCCTGGGCCACACTGGAGAATTGAAACTGACGTTACATATCTAGTTTTTCTCATAACCAATATGTACGTACCCACATGCATACAACTGCTTTTGCTTAAGGTTAAATTTTTTGTCTTTTTTCTATCTATGGCATTGACGCATTAAGTTCAACTTTTGGAAAATAAAATTAAATTGAAGCAAATTGATTTAAACTTTCAGCACATTGATTAAAACTGTGGGCAAATAAAGCTAAATTCTACTGTAGTACTTAACAGTATCTGAAAAACTGAAAAATACAATAAAAAAGCAAATAGCAGTTTTTCAGATACTATATAGTACTACAGCAGTGTTTAATTTTATTTGCCAAAAGATTAATTTTGTTTGCCCAAAGTTTAAATTTATTTGCTTAAAGCTTAAATTTATTTGCTAAAAGCTTAAATTTTCTTGCCCAAAGTTTAATTTTATTTGCCAACAGTGTAACATATAACCCAGATCGTTCTAAATACATTCGTTTTTCCGATTTATTTCATCTTCATTTTTACTTTTATACTCTATCGATAACGAAATCGATAGTAACATCTATCAAAATATCGATAACACAGCCGATAAAAATATCTATAACAAAATCGATAATAAATTCGATAAAAATATCGATAGCAAAGTCGAAAATAATATTGATAGCAAAATCAGTAACAAAATCTATAGTAAAATCGATAAAAATATCGATAAAAAATCGATAAATAATCGATAATAAAATCGATAAATATTTGATAACAAAATCGATAAATAATCGATAGCAAAATCGATAAAAATATTGATAAGAATAAATATATGAATAACAAAATCGATATGAATGACAAAATCAATAAAAATATCAATAAGAAAGGCAATAAAAATATTTATAGCAAAATCTATAAAAATATCGATAACAAAATCGATAAAAATATTGATAACAAAATTTATAAAAATATCGACAGCAATGTCGATAACGAAATCGATAAAAATATTCGTAGCAAAATCATTAAAAAATATTGATAACAAAACCGATAAAGATATCGATAGTAAAACCTATAACAATATCGGTAAAAATTTCGATCACAAAATCGATGAATATGTCGATAAAAAACCGATAAAAATATCGATTATTATATCGATAAATCCCGAGAATCCCGAAAATCTCTCAAATCCCGAAGTAGTTCCCGAATAAGTTCTGTGTATATCTCTTCCCCTATCTACATACATATATCCTTTTCTCTATAATTACCTTTGTTTTAATCTTACTTTCTCTATTTTCATCTTAACTTTTATCGGTATCCTCATCCTCATCTTTTCCTTTATATATATCTTTGTTTTTACTGTCATGTTAACCATTTTCTTCATCTATATGTTCCCCTTCACCTTTGCCCTTATATATATCTTTACGCTACTTTGTTTTTTTTTTACCTTCCTTTTCTTTATCTATGTACGTACTCACCTTTACTTTCGTTCTTGTATTGGTCTTTTTCTAAAAGTTATCCTTTAGCCTTTAATTAGCAAGTTTTTGTTAAATTAATACCATGTGCATACACTCAAGTAGCACTTGTTTCAGCCCCAACGATTTCCGTGTACAACTTCCGTGTACATTTTCCGTTGCACCATTTTCGTGTGCAACTTCCGTGTGCATTTTCCGTTGCATCATTTCCGTTGTATTTACCAATTTACTCCCAATCAATCAACCGCCGCTAACGTAATTTCACTTCAATAATAATATTATCCTTCCTAGCAGCCAGTGTGCTAATTAAGTTAGGGTTATATTGTATATATCCCCAACAAATAATAATAATAATAATATTATCCTTGAAATTCAATGAATAATCGGCCTTTTTTTTTTTTGGACTGATTAAGAAATTGAGAAGTAAAGTCCTCTGTCGACGTACAAAAACCGCACTATATAAGTCATTCATCATGCCCGTGCTGGTATATGGCGCAGAGGTATGAGTCGTTACAACATCCTATAAGGCGGCCTTTCGAGTATTCAAGGGAGAGATTTTGCGAAAGACTTTTGGGTCTGTACGCAGTAACGACGATGGAACGATGAGCTGTATGAGCTTTACAACCACACGGTCATAGTACAGTGGCTCCGCTGTCTTGGACAAGTCGTTCGAATGGCCACAGATGCTCTAATCCTAAAATTATTCAACTCAAAACTCGCTGATGTTAGCGGACGAAGAAGAAGGCTGCCTCTACGATGGAAAGAACGGGTGGAGATAGACTTGACAGTTGCATACAAGAGAAACGACTGGCGTACGTTACAGTATCAAAGAAGAAAAAGGTTAAAGTGTATTTCTTTATGTAATTAAATATCTGTGTATCCAGAATGCCTCCAGGCGTTGGCGGTTTGAAAAGCAGCAATGGTGTTTCTTTTGTCTTGCTTAGTGCGGTCATTTATGCTATGTAAACGGTGCTCTTATATGGGCGCATTCTCTCAAGACTAAGGCATATAGACGTCTGCCCGCGGATGTATTTAGGCCTTCTGCAATACAAGCGTATTTAGGACAAAATAAATTTGCAATTACTGAAATGATGACTTTCAAAATATTGGCAGGCGAAGTTAAAAGAATATGGTTAAACAAGTAAGAAAGTCTAAGTTCGGGCAGAGCCGAACATTAAATACCCGGCGCACGTATTAAATATATGTTTTTCGCCTTACCGAAAGCTACGGCTACATGGTAAGCCGGGGCGTATCAATTTTGAGTAAATTAGAGTCCTTAGATTTCGAAATTTTGAAGTTTCAAGCAGTTCTGAAATTTACCGTTATATGAGAAGCGGCCGTTATTTTAGTCCGATTTCAATAATTTTCAACGGTTTGCTTATATGTGGCAAGCACAATAACCACACCGAGTTTGGTACAAATTGGTAGAACGGTTACTGAGATACATATATGTGATCATAAGTGGGCGGTGCCACGCCCATTTTCCAAAAATTTATCACAAACGTATTTCTTGGT